AAGTAATATAAAATATAGCTTAGGTATATAATATAATAAATTTATAGAAAAGGATTAACTTTATATATCTATAATAAGTTAAATAGTAAGTAATAATTATAAGGGAAAAGTTAAACTAGTAGGTAGTATTAAGCAGAAAAGCTTATCTATTAGAGATTTAGTTATATTTAAGGCTAGTTTTTTATTAAATAAAGCTTTATTAAGCCATAAAGGTTTTAAATATAAAGACCCTTCTAGACACAGGGAGCCAGAATCCCAATTGTTTTCCAAATGAAGGGATAACGGACCAATGAAATAACTGATGATAGCCATTCTCGTGTAGCCTAACTGGCACTAATAACCCAGAGAGAGGCGCTGCAATGGTTCTATCACACTGATACGCGCTTATCTTGCTCCGGATCAGTGGAAGCTGATAAGCAATTCCTAAGCCAATGTCAGCCACCAATCCTCATTTGGGAAGCTTGAAATGGCCAAGAAGACGCGCTTATCTTCAGATAAGACAATCGCCTAGTAGTAAGTAACCGACAAAGGATTGGCTGTCATGGTTTGCGGTTTGCGAGCTGTCCAGGCGAAAGATGCGACATCAAGTTGCACGATGAAGTGACCATGATATAACATAATAAATCAGTATGATGTTTGTACTCCTTACATATAAAAGGATTATTAGGATCACTTGTTTCGTCAGTAGTAACAGAACTATTGCATCAAGACTCAAGAGAAGCCATTTCACATTACTCCAACCAATTCTAGTCTATCATGGCCCCCTCCATCAGTGAAGACCTTTCACTTCGAGTGGACTGCGTCCCTGTTTCAAAATACGGGGATGACCGAGCTCGCCCTGTCCCAATAGTTAAAGTCTTTGACAGTGCGACCGCCGACCCTGCAGCTGTTACCCAAGCCATTATCGAGGCAGGCGGTTGTGTTATTCGAAACGCCGTTTCCGCAGAGGATCTTGCTGTTATAGAGGCAGATACCAGAAAGTTCATACAAACAGATGGAGAGTGGACTGGAGAGTTCTTCCCCAAAGAGACAAAGCGGGTAATGGGATTGGCTGGCAAGTCAGCCATCTACATGAAGACGATTGCCATGAATCCTCTTGCTCGAGCAGTCGCCAACAATCTTCTTACATCCACGCATAGCTGTTGGATTGGATCTGAGTGGAAGACTTTCGTTAGCAAACCTCAGCTGAATAACACCGTGATCTTCAGCATTGCTCCAGGAGCCAGAGATCAAGACCTTCACAGGGATGACATGATCCACCATCACGCCATCAAGCGCCGCATGGCATTTGAATACAAGATCGGTGACGATACAGGGCTTGGCTTCTTTGTTGCTGGAAAGAAGACGACTCGTGCAAATGGTGCGACCCGCTTCATCCCTGGGTCTCACCTCTGGGATCCTGCGACGCCCCCCGACGAGAAGTTATCATTCTACGCTGAGCTTCAACCTGGGGATGCGTTCTTGTTTCTCTCGAGTTGTTATCATGGAGGGTCGGCCAACACCACCACTGATGAGGAAAGGCTGATGTACAGCTGCTTTTATACCAAGAGCTTCTTGAGGCAGGAAGAGAATCAGTATCTTGTTACACCGGCTCAAAAGATGCTGAAGACCTATGATGATGATACGTTGGAGCTTATGGGCTATGGACTGAGTCCTCCGTTTCTGGGATGGGTTGATGCTATGCATCCACTGGACTACTTGCGGGGAGAGAAGTCATTCCGCGACTTGTACTAAGTCAGTTCACGCAGATTAATCAGTCGTCAGGTTTATAGCCAGATCAGGAGATTAGTTGTAAGGTAGTAGACAGACTGATTTTAAACATCACCCTACGCACATGGTAATCCCGCATTCTTTCAACACTTTTTCCAGCCCGTAAGATCCATAATAGCTATCATCAAAAGCCATCCTTCCCCAAAGTAGCTTCAGTGGATTTAGCGTGTTATCAACAGCCCTCATGTCAAAGGTCGAGTGCAATATAATGTCTGAAAGTTGATCTCGCGGTTTCGGGCACCTTATGTGTGAACCGGCTGTCAATATGGGCCACATGACGGTCGTCCAGGATGGAGACTCATATGACATCTTAGCAAAAACCTCTAAGAAGCAAGCTAGACGAGGTTCAACTGCCGCATAGAGCTCCAAGCTGGGTGTATCAGGCCCTTGAAAGGAGGACTCGAGAAAAACAAGACAGGCTTCACGATATAGCTGGCCTGCATATTCATAGTCCTTGGAGAAATATCTTTGTGTTGGTTGCCAAGCTTTCAGCTCTCCGAGGATGTATTCGTATTCCTGGTATGATGTCTGTGAAGATGTAATGCCCTCTTTGATTCGTGACTTGGCCAGGTCGCATATCATAGGAATTGTTTCATACACAAGGTGAGAGCAGCCAAAAAGGCATCCGTAGAAATTGGAACCTTTATTCAAAAGCCCCAGTAAAGGCAGCGATAAGGTTTGAATCATCTCGGGATCGAAACGAGCAGAGCGCAATGTTATGTTGGAGACAGTTGCGAGGTAAGCGTATTGCTCTGCCAAGAAGCCAAATAAGCTCGGACCATGATCTTTGAGGTTTCGTTTGACCGTTTGAAACATGAACTTGCTCGCTTCCAGGTGGTGATACAACGCACCGCGAGTGTTGACATCGATGGTCTGCGACAAGTCAGCGCCGTGGTTATACCATCACTAGGAAGTTTAGTAACCTCGAACCAGCAGAGAGCTAGGGCCGTAGCCTGCAGCGCAACCTGATCGCGCGTATCAAGAGCCTTCCACCGTGTCACAGCATGTTTCATTGCTCGAAGCACAATCGCGTAATGAGAAGCGCATATCTCAGCCATGTCTGGCCTCTTGTATAGTAAGTGAGAAGCGCTGATGGCAAGGATAGCATGTTGCATTATGGTGCTGCCAGAAGCAATTTTGAGATTGCAAGAGAGGAACGGGTTCTCAGGGTATGTTCTTCCGGCCATTCGTTTTGCTGTGACATGTAGAAAGTGTTCGAAGAGATATCGATTCGTGCCCTTGCGGAGTTGGGCTGGGACAACCACCGCGCCTGGGAACATCATCCGAGAAGAAAGTTGCTTGTCGGTATGTGTTGTCGTTTCTCTATAGTCTAGCTGAGGAGTCCTACGATCACGAGTCGCATCTGCCGACGGAGACTTGGAGCTCAATGGAGCTGTCCATTGGCAGATCAAATGGTTTCTATCGCACCCAAGGCAAACCGGCCTGGACTCATCGCACTTCTTTCGTCGTTGTCGACATGGTAAACAGCCCGTTTTGCTTCGCAAGCCGGAGCCTCTTGCTCCTGGTCTAGGTCGATAAGTCATCGAGGGAAGAAACTACGGTCTTGCGATGGAGTTGATGATCTATAGCCGGCACTGGATTGGTTAAAGATTCTTTTCAATTTTGGATGATCTTGAGGGGTATCAGGGAGGGCCGTCTTATTTTACAAGCCACTTTAAGTGCTCGTCTAATTCTGGGCGATAAGAGGAGATAACGGAGTGTGCGGAGAAGGCTCTTGGCTTTACTTCTTATAGATAGTTTGTAATTATGTTTATTCCCTCTATCAAATACCAGTATAATATGTTTAGAAACAAGACTACTAATACAAAAAATAGATTTTAAAGTGTCTTCCAGAACCAAGCGCGAGTTGTTAAAAGTCTCGTTGGAGTTTGGTTCATTAAGCGATGAATTCAGAAGGCGTCATTAGTATTAGTGTCAGCTGAATTCGGTGCTTGACGCGCTGATTCGAATACAGGCGGTTCACCTGGCTGGCTATATCGTGGCACTGAACTAACGGAATCTAGTGCTGAGAGTTTAGTTGCAGGCGCTAACAGATAGCGGTTTAAATTCGGAACATCTGAAATACCTCCTTCTACCCAAATTACCTACGCCCGAATCTTGCATCTCTTACCTTGATACAACTGCAGCTTCACACATACACTACGAGAACATTACACATATTTGATTATCTAATCTCCGAAATACCCTTTCCGTAGAAATGCCTCAGCACCGTCGCCGAGTGGTGTCCTGCCCAACGTGTCGCCGTCTCAAGACGCGATGCGAAGTCCCAAATGGTTCTGCTGTCTGTAGTCGCTGCAGAGCCTTGAGGTCAGCTTTTCATAATCATTTCAGCAGTGATGTCATTACAGGGAATTCTCATTGATTTGAAGTGCAGATTGCCTTGCGAGCTCCCCCACGATGCGCATCGCGTCACTCAGACATCTATAGAGCCTGAGGGTACCGATTCTAGAAGCCCATCTAAGCTTGTTCAGACATGCAATTGTGAAGAAAGGTATGCAACTCAAACTTTTACTCACTATATCTGGTTTAACCCTAACCTAGGCTTAATGCCCTCGAAGCTGAACTGGCAGAGTTGCGCTGCGCAGTGCGTGAGCTGAGCCAAAACTCGGTCTCTCAGTCACCAGTACCACAAACTGCGCCAAGTAATCAGAATACCACAGCCTCGGTCCCAGAGATAGATGCTATATCACGTGCAAGAACCGAAGCTCAGATATCTACAGCTCATCTAGAGCCACCAGTCGCCCCAGTTCGTGTTATTCGAAAGATGTATACCTGGATTAATGGCAATCCTGAAACTCCAAAGGACATGGTCGAGTTACCTGAGTCAATCAGGGCTCAATTGGCCTCCGATGGACTCGGCTTGCGTCTGATTGAGACGTGAGTGAATTTTGACAACTGCTCATCTCCAAATGCACCCAATCTCATCCGACTAGTTTGAACCTTCGAGCCGTGCTGATGTACGCTCTAGATCCAGAAAAAACATCCCTCGGCTACACTTCGTACAAGAAACCATCGACAAAGCCTTGAATGGAGGGTATAATCTGCTCTCTATCACCTGCTTGCTCGCAGGCATGCAAACTAATTTTTCCACCATCAGCCAAGACCTTCACACTTCACTTTACGGCGTCCTGAAGTCTGAGCTCGCCAAGCTTTCGCTCGAGTCTCCTCTAAGCCCGCCTTCCCTCTACGCGATGCTTCTTACCTGTATCCTGAACTTAAGTCTCGGCTTCTCAGACAGTTTTATCGATGCGTGGCTCTTGAGTGGCTCGCTCATCCTCCACCTTATGCTGTCGTTGGACTTTCCTGCACTGCAGCAAGCGACTTCATACTTACGATATACAGAGGATGACAAAAACCGGGTACTGACGTGGAATGCTGCATGTCTTCAACACCTCAAGTATGTCACATAATTTCTCATCTCACATACAGAAAGATACTTACTATATGCGAGATTTACTATCGGTGTAGGGAAGCTGTCCGCTGTGCGACTGGACCTGGCGGCACATTACATCGACATAGTTAAGAATGCAGAAGGTTTCAACAAACTGGACAAGGAAGTTGTTGCCGAACTTGAACTTTTTATATTACTATACCGAGGCATTGTCGAGGAGCATATCCCAGCAAATGAACTTCAAAGCAATCTCACACAGTGGTATACTGCTAATGCAAATCGTATGTTGATGCTACAACTACTCAGACTTGTTCCCGTATCTGACAAGCTACAGTGCTTAACCTTGACGATAGTCTAAAGCTAAAGTTTGCTCTCTCAACATTCGGCTTACTAGCCAATAGATGGGAACTGTCGCAACGACACAAGGAAGACATCAACAACGCCGGCGAGAATGCTGTATATGAACAGCAGATCGAGAGCATACTAGAACACAGCCACCGAATCATACGCTTCTGCAGGGAAATGACAAGGCAGAAAAGGATCATCCACACTTTCGACTTCCTTATGGGCGCTTATGCACACGTTACGCTGGTCGAGTTCTCAGATCATCTTGAGGACATTGATAAGACCTTTCGTCTTATGGAGGAAGTGCAGAATCTTCGAAAGGGTACTTATGTTGTTGAACCAGTCTCTATCTGGGCCATGAACATGATGAGAAAACGGGTTTACGATGCGGCACGACCAGAGAAGGACACACAAGCTGATACGTTGCCTGGACTTGATGTTTGGTGGCCACCTTTTGAAGCTTTGAGCAGCAGGATGGAGTATACCTCAGCAGAAGTAAGCGAGCGAGATCAACAGTAGGATTATTTGGTAGTAGATCATTCAATGCCGGTTCAGATGATGAGATGGATCAATCAGGACTTGTGAAAAAAAAGAGGTAGTCATTTTAATTAAGGCCTAATATTGGTTCAATATTTCTCCGCGCCAGACTTCTGAGCATTGCCCATCTCCTGATCCCCAGAGGCAGCATCAGACGAGTCAATCACAACATTGACAAAGGTGCCGTCATGACTCTCTACAAAGTCCTTGGGCTCCTTCCACCCAGAGACCCTGGGAATATTCTTACTTGGAAAGATTGTGTTTACCAACCAAAAGCTTCCGAACGCCAAGAAAAGCCCTACAGGATAGGCAACGTAGTAAAACCGTTGAATGCCCAATGGTGCACTAACACCCATTTGGTAGAGGAATCCGTAGAAGTTTGGTGCAATCGCAATCAAGTAGACAGCAAAGGCTCTGAGATTGAAGCCGTGGAAGAAGTGATAGGTAGAGTCCTTGTGGCCAGAGTAGAGCATGGGGATGTCAAAGACACCGCGTCGGAGGAGATAGTAGTCGCAGATGAGGATACCAGTGATGGCGCTGAGGAAAATCTGGTACGAGCTGAGGAAGTTGATGAAGACGGCTGCAGATGAGAGCAGGTACCATGGGCAGATTGCATACGAGATGACTGTAGGAGGAGTTACTAATTAGCGACGAGCTCGCATGGGAAAGGTAAGGGAGCCGTACCTGCGCAGATGAAGAAACCACGCTTCACTGTAATGTATTTTGGCATGAGAGCTGCGATGTCGTTGCCGGCACTAGGGGAATGACAAGTCAGTAACATGAAGGGACAACAATGGTTAGAGCAGACTTACGGAATGGAGTTCTCGAAAATAGCGGAGAAGACAGTCGAGTAGACATAAGCGAAAGAGATCAATGCGCATCCCGCACGATTCGCCGATGTATGACGATCACCCTGCATAAGCATGTCCAGCGTTGTAAGTGGGTTCCAGATGACCTCGCCAAAGATGCCCTTGCTAGCAGCTGCGATTAAATTGCCGAAAACGCCAACCAAGAAGTTGGACATGGGAAAGCTGAATACCTGACCGGCAATGACATCAGTGGGCTTAGAGGCATATCGCTGTAGATCAGATGCATTGGAAATAAAGGTGCCGCAACTGGCTAGTCCCAGAAAGAAGAACTTGAGGATCAACCAGGACTTTTCGGTGCCTTTGACGGTAGATGGCTCACTCAAAGTCTTACGGACGCTGCCGGAGAGGGACAGTGTCCAGGCGACGAAGGCGATGGTGGCGGCGAAGTAGATAGCGACTTTGATGTGGACGAGCTTCCTCATGCGCGGGACGGGGACGAAGAGAAAGGCGCAGTTGATAAGCCTGTCGTGACACGGTTAGATCAAGAGGGATTGTTGTATGGGCAGTAGCATCATACCAGTAGAGGAAGAAGCAAAGCATTTGCGCCGAGTTGAGGGCAGATTTGGAACCCATGATGTCGGGAATGTTGGCGATAGAGGGAAAGATGGCGTGAAGAAATACACTGTAGAGCGAGATAATTAGCTACAAATCAATAATACGGTGATCGGCCAAAGATCGTCTTGGCCCGACTGTTGGTTAAGTCAACTTACTATAGGCACTGCGCACCCTGCACAGAATTCACACCATTCCAGACAATCGACATAACAGCGCGATTAAACGTCGGCCACAAAGCACCCCAAGTCCCAAAACTCGCTCGGCACGCCACAGGGAAGGGAATTCTGTACAGCGCACCAGCACGACCATTCAGCGCCATGAGACAACCAGCCAGCAACTGGCCGCCAAGCGAGCATGCCAGAGCCTCCCACATACTAAGGCCAGCAGATTGACCTGTAGACGCTGCGTAGAGGTTGCTCACGTTTGCTGTGGCTGCGAACCAAAAGGCTGAGTATGTGATGGATGTCCATGTGCGGTCTTTGACGGGGGTTGGGCGGATGGAGTCATTGTCGAGAAAGTTGGCTGGTTCGGTTGTTCCGTCTGCGCAGTGTTTTTTTACGAGGAGACGGTCGTGAGCTTTGGAGAGGAGTGAAGCCATGGTATCTCCTATACAACTCTGTGACTATGGGAAACGCTGGATTGACACTGGAGGGTTTGGAAATGGTTGGTCGCATGTCAGTGGAGGACCAGGGTTGATGTTTATAGAATGCAGCATATCACATTTAGTCCAACCATAGACACACAATCAATAACCCCAGAATCGAAATGCACAATTGATAAGGTCGGAAGTATAAGCCTTGATCCTATTGGCGCAGGCGAAGTGTCCGACGGTCGCCGGTCAGGGTAGTTACACTAGTGACGCTGTTATCTGTCCCCGCACAAGATAGCGATGTTTATCAGATTGCGTGCCCCAGTGTAGCCAATACAATCGCCCGCTCTGTGGATCTTGACTGGTAATTGTTAGCGATAGGGGAACGGGGAACTCCGCCACGGGTGGCCCCGCCGGCAGTTACGGGTCCCCCATCTCCGACGGTCTCCGTCTTGTGCCTAACCTACAGCTGAGCAATTATTGCGCTACTCCAAGGACGCAAATACATCAAACGCTGGTCTGTTATCTTATATCAAGTCGCTAGTCCCGGGCCTATTACTTGTTGCAGCGCTCTAAGCATTAGCTGCAACGCAGAGGGTATACCAGTAACCAATTTCTCATTATTTGTCTGTCATTGGTCTTCCCCATTTTGTGCTATCATCATCACATCAAGTTGATCACCAGTACCCAATCCTGTTCATGATCAAGAGTAACAATCATGGCTACTACCACAATTGAAACCACAGCCCCCGTCTCGGCGTTTACAACGGTCCAGCTGATGACACCAGACGGACCTGTTTCCCGCCGTGTACGCCGTGGGGCACCCCGTACTCCGACCCTAGATGAGATGCCTGTCATCGACCTCAGCTCGCTCGACGGAGACGCGACTGCTCGCAAGGCCATCGCTACCAAGATCAAAGCAGCGGCTGAGAACACGGGCTTTTTTTACGTCAGCAACCACGGGATTCCGCAAGAATTGATTGAGCAAGCTCTTGAACAGATCAAGGCTTTCTTCAACCAGGAACAGGAATACAAAGATCGGGTCTCGTTTGACAAGGCGGGCAAATTCTGTGGTTATCACGGTGTTGGCAGCACGCAGATCAATAATCAGGAAACCAGAGGTAGGCAAACCATTGATTCATGCATATATCTACTTACGTTATCATAGACAAGAAGGAGACTTTCTCTATGCGGTATGATACTCGCATCGACGAGACTCATGATTGTGTTGACGACATCAACTCCAACTTCACCTCGACAGATTATGTCTGGGACAGAACGAGCCATCTCACAAACTTCCGCCCCGTTCTCACGGAATTCTATCAAAAGCGACTGATGCTAGCACGCAAGCTCATCCGCTTATTCGCCCTTGCTCTGGACCTACCAGAGGACTACTTCGACTCCATTATCACCACTCCTGGCGCCGACGCAGTGCACATTCATTACCCCGGCACTGACGGCAACGCCGAGGACGTCGATGTCGGGATTGGCTCACATACCGATATTCAGTGCGTGACTCTGCTCTGGCAGGACATGTCTGGGGGTCTGCAGGTACTCTCGGCAGATGATGAGTGGCTCGACGCACGGCCGATTGAGGGCACCCTTGTCATCAACATTGGCGACTTTTTGCAGAGACTCTCAAACAATCGGTTCAAGTCGACTGTTCATCGGGTGTATAATAGGCAGAAGACATCTCGTTACGCCATGCCGTTCTTCTTGGGGTTTAACCCGGACGCGGTTTGCGAAGTTCTGCCGACCTGTATTGATGAGGAGCACCCTCCTCTCTACGAGCCGATTTCATGTGGCAAGGTAAACTATGCTCATTCTCCATATAAGAAGGATAATAATACTAACTAACTACAGTGGCGTGATTCTCGTCTGAAGTTGGCAGAAACCCCGGATATAAAGGCAGTATAACCAACAGAAGCTAATGGGAGACATTTCGAAGGGTTATATTTGTATACAATCATATTGAAGCTATGTTATCAAGTAGTAAGCTAAAACGTATTTCTCAAATTCTTTGAGGAAGTGTAACCCCAAGAATGTCATAAATGGCCTGAATATATGCAGCTGGGGAAGGATGTGCTGTATTTAGCATTCTGTTCATCGTATACGCAATTGTGAGCCTCCTATCACGATCCACAACCACCATCGATCCACCCCATCCGCTACCCCATCCAACCTTGCCATTCGGCAGCTGATCTTCAACGATCCCAGACCCAGGCCCGGTGAGATAAATCCCAAGTCCGCGCCTCCCGCTCCGCCCTGTGACTAGATCCGTTCCCTTGGCGTGTTCTGAAAGGGCCAAGTCCACCGTCTCAGGGGAGAGGAGGCGATGGGCACCTCCCGCGCATATGCCGCCGAGCGAGTAGCAGGAGAGGATCTTGACTAGTGTCCTGGCGTTTGTGTGGCCGTTGACTGAACCTAGGACACTGGATCGCCACAGCGCCGTGTTGGCGTCCTCGGCTAGGGGCGAGGGGTTACAGAGCGTTCGCGCGAGGATGGAGTCTGGGTCATATCCAACCTGTTGGCTAAGAAGTTCCTGGATCGAAGGTCCCGGTGGAGGCACAACGGGGGCCACGCGGCGACAGTCTTCCTCGCGACAGCCAAGCTGGAAGTCCGTCCAGACTCCCAACGGTCGACAAATCTCCTCCTTGATGAACTCGTCGATAGACATTCCCGTCTTCCTTCGCACCAGCTCCCCCACAAGGAATCCCTGCGTCAAACCATGGTAGCCCATCTTAGTTCCGGGAGTCCACATAGTTTTCTGGCGAGCCAACTTGTCAGTTGCCTCCCTGGTATCACAGATGTCCTCCAGTGTCATGTCGTCCTGCCACGCGCTGAGACCTGCTGTGTGGGTTAGCACCTGGCCAACTGTGACCTCAGACTTCCCATTCGCTGCAAACTCAGGCCAGTGCTGGGAAACCTTGTCCTCGGGGCGGAGCACTCCACGCGAGATCAGCATCAGAGCCGCCAGATTGGTGACTAGCTTCGTGGTTGAGAAGACGTTCACCAGTGTATCCTTGGCCCATGGCTTCTTGTTTGATGCATCGGTGAACCCCCCCCAGATGTCTACAACGTCCTCACCGTCGATATTGACGCAAAGACTGGCACCGATGTCTTGCCCGGAGGCGAAAGACTCTTGCATCATATCGCGGAGTTTGGAAAATCGGGCATTACAGTACCCTTGAACCTGAGCCATCTTAGAAATGAGATATTTGATGCCGAGGGTTGTTTAGCTGTAAATAGTGGTCTTGTGTTGAAATGTTTGTGTTTAAAAGTGCTACTAGCAGCTAAAGACGCTTTCCCCTCGCCCGAAGAGTCGGATGACTGATCGGAGTTATTATTAGCTCATAAGCCGAGTATGCAATTTTCCCATGGTGGAGAATGCGGTGGGTCTACTGCGTATACGAAGCGGCTATAAAATGCGCTATAACCAGCAGCATAGTAATATACTATGTATTCTAAGGCAGTATCTTACTTTATCTGCCAGTTTAGCTACTAGCTAGTACGTAGGGATATTAGTTATAATGTTAAATTACTAAATTCTACTATAGCTAAACTAGTAATAATACTAAGACTGACAGACTAGCTATAGTATGCTGTAGTAATATGCCAAGACTCCCTCTTATTTAAAGTTTATTTAATCTATTAAGCTTTTTGACAATGATGATTAAGCGGAACGAGATGGTAGCTGCTATGTCCCTGAATCATGATATGTGGTCCTATCCCTTGCCTAGTGAACTTTGGGATCCATTCAGACAATGGGTCTGCTTATCACAACGGCGGTGAACATGGCAGGAATAAAGCTTAATATTGTCTCTTGTGATATATATAAGCAGTGCCCCAACAAAACAATCCATCCAGCCTGCTTCCCTCTCGCTATTCATTACTCAACTCCTCTAGATACTTCTTTCTTCACAACCAAAATGCAACTCCTCGGACTTCTTGTTGTCTGCCTTCCTGCCGTATCGGCCCAAGCTTTCTGGTGGACAAACAGCGGTTGGTCCAAGCCCGCCGATTTCAATAGCAAGGCCTGCGCGAGCAATCCCAATACTCACTACTTCTGCGTACGTAGCATCACTGACATTAACGAATGTGGCTAACTGGCAGCAAGGGTGTTATTTCTGGTACACGGGGCGAGAATGCCTACCCAAACCAATTTCCCATCAGACGTGATACTTGCACCTTGGCCGACACTCTGGGACGAGGATGTAACTGGCAGGGTGCTGTAGGAACTGTAAGTTACTAGATAAAACTTAAAGAAAATAGTTACTAATTATTAAATAGGTTATCTGTGTTAGTAACTATCTTTTCTAGGAGATAAAGTATTGTACTAATAGATCTTTAGTGTTAAACAGGCCTCTTATATGCACTTACAGGAGAGACTTTACTGCTACTAGTTTCAGGTCAGCACAATATATTAATTCTATTATTATACACCTTGCTAATTTAGTACTAAGTTCTGTCTGCTAAGTTAAGCTCTTAGCTATAAGTCTTAACTATAAATAATATATCTAGCTTATAACTTAAATATTATATTAAATAACTAACTAATTATTATAGCTAAAGGCTAAAAAAAGAAAAACCTAGATTATAACTCTTTAGCTAGCCTT